TTACATTTGGCCGCAGCCCTCAGATAGATTTTCATTTTGGGGAAAAGCTTTGTGCAGCCTTGATATATGTATTTAAACTGAAACAGCTGGACTAGTGCATCCTAAATTTAACATCCATTCATTCTTTTAATACAACAGTCATTTCTGCAGTTTTTGGGGAGGTCACCTCCTAATAAATGTCCTTACAGAAAATCTAACTGCTCATTTTAAATCAGTACTTTGACTTTTAATACTTAAAATATACTTTAAGACTTTTACTCAAGTAATATTCCTAAAGGAGACATTAACTTTTACTAAAGTCGTTTTTTGATAAGATACTTGTACTTTTACACAAATATCACTTTGTGGTACTTTATAAAACACTGTTTGATTGAAATTATTATTTTTGATTGAAGATGCTTTTTGTTTGATTGAATCATAAAAACACAAATTTACCTCCATATGTCCGCAGGTCATTTTAAAACTTAAATAATTTAAAATAATAACAGATTAAAGTCATGTATGTAAATTTGTCTTCCAGCGTTAAATAAAACTTTGATTTGTTTGGTGCAGAAAAGGAGAAAACTCCAGACTTTAAATGAAAATAAAGTTTGGATAATTGTTTCTGTTTGATGAAGGTGAGGATGACCGCTCCCCTCACACCTGAAGGTAAATAAATACATTTATTAATAAGTAATATTTATTTTAATGGCTCCTCCGGAGCTCCATACATTCACAAGTGAAAAATGAAAATCTTTAGTTCCTGTCAGTCCGGACAGGTGTGCCTGGTGACGTCACAGAGGTAACACCCACCTTTCCTCAGCTCCTGTGTCGAAACTCCAGCTCACAGTTCCCGGGGGAGTTTTTTTTTTCCTACAAACATCTGGATTTTCTCGTTCGGTTCGGTTCGGGTGGTACCGGTGAGCACTTCCGGCTCGTCGGTTGGACTTTACGACTTTGATCCCGGCTGAGCGCGTGAATCCCGGAGGACTTCAAAAGGTAAAGCTTCAAAATAAAAGCTTTGATCGTGTTGTCAGTCCGAGCCGAACCGAACCGGGTTTGTAGAACCAGCTCAGAGTTTCCTGCTGGGTTCAGAGTCTGTGAGGGAAAAACTGGGTCTGTCATTCAGTGACAGCGTGGCTGAAGGTCGACGTGTTCTGGTTAGGCTGGACCCAGAACCGCAGGCTGGCTCTGGTTCTGCTGGGCTTCCTTCAGAAACTCAGCTCCAGTTTCTCCTCCGGTTCTTTAAATAAATGTACCGTTTTTGATTAAAGGGAGACAAGAAGTCCGGTCTGGATCAGGGAAACCCGGACTTCTCCAGTCCAAAGAGGGAGTCCAGGTCCTGGAGGACCAGCATCCTGCAGTGTCAGGATCCTGTCAGACCTGCAGACTGGTCCTCCAGGACCAGGACTGCAGACAGTTCTGGGTCCGGCTGGGACCTCCTCCCAGTCAGCAGAGCCGCTATGAGCAGAACTAGCTTCTCATTTAGCGGATTAGCTTTTTAGCTAACTTTGGAAACCATTAGCGGACAGATTAGCTTCCGCTAAATTAGGTTTAGCTAATTTTAATTCCACTAAATAATGTTAAACTTTTGTTTTTAAGCCATTTATCCTGAAATAAATCAAAACTATCCCCTCTTACAAACAGCTCTTAGCGTGTTAGCATGTAGCATCTTTAGCAGCTAAACTTCAAACTAAGAGCATTAAAAATTTAAAATAAAAGAACAACATTTTAATAACAAATACAAAAAAGACAATGTATAAAATATGTTTGAGAAAGTATTTTTAGATTAACTTCAAACTGTATTTATAAAAATAAAAACTGACTTGTTAGACAAGCTATAACTCTGGTTTTGATTGGTTGATTTGACACAGATGATCCCGCCCACTTTCAAATTAAACCAATAGAAAACTAACAACGGGTCCTGCTAACCGTCTTAGCGGTTAGCTTATCTGTTAGCAGCTTTGGTGAAGCTAAGTGTTTGGTTAGCGGTGTCCACCAGACGGACCGGAACAACGTCCTCGCTACTGCAGCCGAGGCCTCAGTCCACCTCCTGCTCCATCCTGAAAACCAGATCCTCCTGAGACCAAGGTTTATTCGGCCCGGTTCACAACTTCGACTCTTCTTTCTGGTTCTGTCTGTTTAGGACACCGAGACGTGTCCAACGTGTCCCTGATGTCCAGCAGAGGCAGGAGTGACCTTTGCAGAATATGTGGCGGGGATCTGCAGGGAAACCAGCGGCGATGGCTGTTTGGGGGCCAAAACAAGAGGACTGGTCAGCCCCGGACCCCCACAGAGTCTGTGAGGGGTGCAGGTCTGTCCCGGTCCTCACAGAGCAGTCCTTGGGGTCAGTCTGGAGCCTAAAGAAACATTTCTGTCTGCTGTTCCTGTTGGATTGTAAACACAGCTGTTTGTCTTCACAGGCAGCACGGTGTCTCTGGGGTCCTCGGGGTCTCTGTCCCAGCTCTCTGCCAGCCCCCAGTCCAAAGCGGTGGACCTGCTGTCGGTGCTGACCCACATCCTGGGCCGGTCGGTGCCGCGGGGCGGCGCGGCGGGCGAGTTCGTGTGCGGTAAATGCGTGTCCGCCCTGGAGCGGGTGTTCAAGTTCGACGCGGTGATCGCTCGGGTCAAGGTGCTCTCCAACGAGAGGCTCCAGAAGCTGACCAAGGAGAGGGACCAGATCCGGGTCTGGGTCCGCCACAACTACCAGCACAGACACCCGCAGAGCCTCCAGACCAGGACCAGCGAGGAGGACGCAGAGACTGAGAAGGAGGGCTACCGGGAGATGCTGAGGGACAACATGTCTCTGTCTGAGTACGAGTGCTGGTCTGAGAAGTGGGACACCTGTCCCTTCTTCATCAGGACTGGGAAACGCTGCAGGAAGGGGAAGGGCTGCGAAGGATGCCACTCCTTACGGGTCTCGGACTCGGACTACGAGTCGGTCTGCGGGATTCCTCGTCACCTACCTTTCCAGCCCTTCTCCCCGTTGGCACTGTCGCGGGACAGATCCCAGAGCATGCCCCTCCACTGGCAGGGGGTCCCGTCGGTCCACTCCAGTCCGGCTTCGCTGGCCGGGTCCAGCCTCTCCCTGAGAGGGTCTTCCCGCACCGGGTCCGTTCAGTCTCTGGACTCGGTGGATGGTCCTGATCCCTTTGAGTCCCCAGGAGACCGGGCTGTGAGCTTCCTGCTGAAGGAGCTGAGGGGTCTGGAAGGGAAACCGGTCAGGTCCCCTTCAGGCAGCAGGATCCCCGTTCTGGACAGGAAGACTGACGGGTCCTCCACGCCCAAGGTCAGCCGGTCGCTGAGCTTTGAGGACTTGGACAGTCCGAGGGACGAAGTGGACGGAGAAGATGGAGACGTTCTGACGGAGCTAAGAGAAGAGTACATGCCTCTTCATCGAGCGGTGAGTTCAGCTCGTGTCTGAGCCTGTAGTTCGAAACCGCCAACCGCCCCGGGAAAGCCTCGAGCTGGCTCTGATTTATTTAGGTTTTCTTTCAGAGCAGCTAAATGTTCCTGTAATCCAGCAGTGAGCACAGATCTGCTAATCCGCTATTAGCAGAACTAGCTTCTTGTTTATCGGATTAGCTTTTTTGCTAACTTTGAGAACCGTTAGCCAGCTAAATGTTCCTGTAATCCAGCAGTGAGCACAGATCTGCTAATCCGCTATTAGCGGATCTAGCATCTAATTTAGCGGATTAGCTTTTTTGCTAACTTTGAGAACAGTTAGCCAGCTAAATGTTTCTGTAATCCAGAAGTAAGCACAGTTCTGCTAATCCGCTATTAGCAGATCTAGCATCTCGTTTAGCGGATTAGCTTTTTTGCTAACTTTGAGAACCGTTAGCATTAGCTACCTCTAAATTTCTATCTGTTTAGAAGTTTAGCGTTAGCAGAGCTAAGATTTTGGATTAGCAGAGTAGTGGTTAGTGAAGCTAATGTTTTGGTTAGCTGTGCCCACCACTGCTGTCATCTTTTAAAGTTTTTCTTCGGCTGAGCTCGAGTGATGAACCCAGGTTTAATTCTGGATCAACTGGAGAACTGTTGGTCCGGATCACTTTAAACGTTTCTTTAGTCTGGCTGCTCGGGAGGAGAAAACATGAAGAAAAAGCTGAATCTATGTTTTATATTATTTATTGTAGAGCGCCAACACCAGGGTCCACAGTGCCATGAAGCACCTACGGGCCCAACTGGACCAGGCCACGTCTCGAATCAGAACCCTGGAGGCGGAGCTGAGACGAGGAGGGGCTGAAGTGAACGGATCCGAGGACCTGGCCTCTGTAAGTCCTCCTCACATGTTCCAACAGTAAAAACTGTTTTAAACTTATTTAACAAGAACAGCTGGTTCATTAAAGCGTCTCAGGTCCAAACCGGTCCACAAAGCAGCCTGGAGGGCGTGGCCTCATTTCCTCCTGAATACAGGTGCAGGTCTGGAATCCTGCCCCACCTGCAGAGTTTGCCCCGGGCTCTGCCTGTCCCGTGACAGGACTCAGCTGTTCTGTCAGAACACGTGACCCGGTCTGTCAGAACCAGAGGCCTGACGAGACCAGCAGCTTTAGATCTGAATGTCACTCAGATTATTGTTCAGATTAGTGTCTCACCTGGCTGATCTCACCTGGCTGAACATAAAGTTTTCTAAAAGACATTTCTGTCCTTCAGGTTGGTTCAGCAGTATCTTCAGTCTGACGTTAACCCTCCTCTTCCCTTCCAGGAGGATGGCGGCAGCTTCCTGCTGCAGAGCTTCTGTCACTCCCTGCTGAGCCGGGAGCGTCTGATCCAGGTGGGCGAGGCCGGCAGGAGTCCTCCGGCTGCAGGAGCTCCGGCTCAAAGCTCGCTGGAATGTTGTTTGCTTTTCACCACGCCAAGCGTTCAGCAGAGACTGTTACTTTAGCTGCTGTTAATTATTTACAGCAGAAAAACAAACTCCTGTTGAACTGTCGGGGTTGTTTTCATCAGAAACAAGCAGAGATGATTAGATAACTTCATCATTTAAAACGCTTTTTACTCCAGTTCACAACAAAAGCTGTCAGTGATTCAGATTCAAATCAAATTCAAACACTGAGCCAGATGTCCTCTGGGCCTTCTGGTTTTAAAGAATTTAACATTTCCAGCCAAGAATAAAGACATAAGTAGTTCATCTTTAATTTTGGCAATATAGTCATTAATAATTATAAACCGCTTTATTGGCTTTGATTAATTAAAACATGTGGCAACAGGTGATAGTACATAAATATTTTTTAAATTAGGGTTTAAAATGATGCTCTTGCTGAAGTAGTCCTGGTTTTAGCTTAGCTTAGCATCAAGACCTCAGCTGTGGAATAAAAATACTAAACTGTAAATAATTAATCAGATTAAGAACATTCTCACACTGACTTTTACCTCTTTTCTGGTGCTGCACTAAGCTAACAAATGCTGTTTAGTACACCGACTCTGTTAGCTTAGCTTAGCATAAAAACTGAAATGGGAGAACTAGCCTGCTGTCCTCATATGAGCCTAAATACTAGAAATGTTTGTCAGTTATCAAAACTAAGAAGTACAATTTCACACAATATGTTTCTGTGGTGTGCTACATCCATGCTAAGCTAAATTAGCAACTGTACAAAAGCTAGCCTGTTGTCTCCATGCTAAGCTAAGCTAACAGTTTAGTATTACAACTCTGTTAGCTTAGTGCCAAGACAGCAACTATACAAATTTAACTGTCTGTGTGCTAAGCTAAGCTAACAATCTTAGTTTAGTATAACAACTCTGTTAGCTTAGCATCAAGACAGTAACTGTACAAAAGCTAGCCTGTTGTCTCCATGTTAAGTTGTTAAGTTGACGGGTATTTTTATTTTTTTAAATATCCATAAAACTTCTGTGTTTCTTGTTTTTAAACATGTCAAACTATCACTTCTGGTTAATACGACACTTTGTTTTGAACTTTAATTCAAATTTGCTGCTGAGTTTTAGGCTTCTCTGTGAATCTAAGTGTTTAAAGGCCCGTCTCCTCGGCTGGAGCTCCAGCCTTAATGTCTGTCTGTGTTTGTGTCCTGCAGGAGTGTTTGGGTCTGATCAGAGGACTGAGTGTGCAGGACGGAGCTGGAACTGAGCTGAGCAGCAAACTGACTGAGAATCTGAAGGAGATCCTCTCTGACAACAAGGTCAGAGGAAGCACCGTCTGTTTTTATCTTTGTTTACAGAAAACTTCATCAATCGATGCAGATAAACACCAGCTGCTCAGCGCAGTGCAGCAGATATCAGACGACTTTAGCTGAGATTCGGCTCGTAGTTTTTCTTGGTTTCATCAGGCCGACGAGGCTAACGTGAGGCCGACGTGAGGCCGACGAGGCTGACGTGAGGCCGACGAGGCTAACGTGAGGCCGACGAGGCTAAAGTGAGGCGGACGAGGCTGACGTGAGTCCGACGAGGCTGACGTGAGGCGGACG